ATGTACATGATATACAAGTACATGCCACAAGGTTGCAAGTACTTGTAACAAGGTATACAAGTACATTGTACAAGGTATACAAGTACATGTACAAGGTATACAAGTCCAGTACAAAGGTATACAAGTACAGTACAAAGGATACAAGTTACATGTAACAAGGTATACAAGTACATGTACAAAGCTATACAAGTAAAGGTAAAGGTATACAAGATTATGTACAAGGGTATTACAATAATGTACAAGGTAACAAGTACATGTACAAGTATACAAGTACATGTACAAGGTTATACATAGTACTTGATCAAGGGATACAGGACATTGTACAAGGATACAAGGACTGTACAGGTATACATAGTACATGTACAAGGTTTACAAGTACATGTACAAGGTATACAAGTACATGTACAAGGTATACAAGTACATGTACAAGGTATACAAGTAGATGTACAAGGTATACAGACCATAGCTGACCTCAGTTACATACTACTATATAGAAAGTTCCTTGTTATGCTAAGCATTTCCCGCAAATTAAATCAGTTTTGACCCCAGGATGCGACCCTCACCAACCCACTAATACCTAAGTACCCATTTTATAAAGATGGTGAACATGGACAAGAAGCGTAAGGAAACACTCCTAATATTTCTACCCTCGCCGGGAATCGAACCCGGACACCTCAACTTGTGAATCAAGAGCTTTAGCCACCAGGCAATGGGCCACCATGGACAGGCGTCTCTGTTTGGTCTCAAAATTTCAGTACTCGTTTATCCTATTTAGAAGATGATTGTCTTGTATATTGTGGTGAGTAAATGTCGTTTATGTCACTTTTAATCTTAAATCTGGATAGCATATACTATTTTGTATTATTTTTCTAATGATGTGAAAACTTTGGGCTCTAGAAGGAAAACTGTCTAGAGCAGAGTGATTAACTTAGCAATACCTGACGAACGCCACATCTGCCTATAACCCCATGCCAGCGAATTTAATATTTTCTTTTCTGTTGTAAGATCAATTAGCAAAAACAAAATCCCTAACGACAATTACTCAGCCACAAGAAATTCTCTATGGTAATTACACTATATACTCTATATGTAGTACTACAATTCCTACGGAATTCTCACTATTAAATTCAATTAATTAATAAAACAAGGCAGGAGACCTAAACGACTGTTGCAACAATCAATGTATGAAAATGCCGCTCATGTGTTGTTACCCTTTATTGGCCCATTATTGCAACACTATTTAAAAATCTGGTGAATCTTAACTTACTCATCCATATCATGACAGCAAGGGTCACCCCAGTCCCTCAAAGAAGCGAGCCTTCTGAACTAAATAACGACAGAACTTGCCTTTACTCTCAAAAAATCTTCTGGGAAAAATATTATCGTAAACAAATCCTACTCCTACCCTCCTATCCCCCAACATACTGATATCCCTGACAGGTTTGGGGTTGAGGCCAAAAAAAATGCAATGAATGATGCAATTGTTCAGATAGCTTGAATTACTGTATACAGCACAATTGACACAAACATATTGGGCTATGGAATATTCTGGGCTTTTCATAGACCTGGACAGCATTTGATACAGTCGACACAATATCTTGCACCTAAAACTAGAACATTACGGGGTAGAGGAACTCCCTTCAACTACCTAAAATCTTATCTTAGGCGTAGACACCAGTATGTGTACACAAATAGCGTGACCTCAATACCTCATACTGTAGTTGTTGGAGTGCGTCAGGGAAAGTTCCTTGGTCTCTACTTTTTCTTATTTACAGATATATGACCTCCCAAATGCATCGAGACTTCTTAAAACAGTTCTATTCGCAGATGACCACCACTTATGTTTCTTCTCCACCAAACCGACTATACTAGTAACACTGTAAACAACAAGGTACTTAAAATATCAAAACTGGTTGACGACCAACAAAACTTATTCTCAATATAGACAAAACCTTACTTCCATGCTTTTCTGGCAACAGAGATCAAAATATCAGCTTAAAACATATCGTAAATGGTTAACCCAATTACAAGACACACTGAGGGTAAATTTTTTGGTCTCCACCTTGACTGTAATCTTAAATTTCAGATCCACATCCAGCATATAACTAAGAAAGTTTCCAAATCAGTAGGTATCATTTCCAAGATACGATACTATGTACCCCAACGGGCACTCCTTACCTTGTATCACTCTCTAATATACCCTTACCTGACCTATGGTAGTTGTGCTTGGGGATTCTACCACGGCCAATCACCTCAAACCTTTTAATAACCCAACAATAAGCGGCAGTGAGAATGATCACAAACTCTTGCGCCAGACAACACACTCCACATCTCTTCAGAAACATGAACTTACTTAATATACATAATATACACACTTAATCATTGGCCTACTACGTATCAGCAACCATGCTCAAAACTTCTTCCTAGACAGCTTCACAGAAACACAGGAAAAACACGAGGGCAATAACACTTTTTGACATCCCGTGTGCCCGTCTCCTCATATGAAAAAATTCCAAAATGCAACATAACAGGGCCCGAATGATTGGAACTCTTTGCCCAAAATCAGTTTTGGATCTACTCACAATCATTCCTCTCTCATATAAACAAACTCCCCAAATATTTTATTTTCCTTAAAGTTTTAAGGGCACATTTACAAACTAATAAATGTAAGTTTGAAATGAACTTAATTACGACTAAAATGTATGATTGTATTCATAAATTGCATACTTCCTTATATTAGCAATAGAGTAAAAATACTGAATATTTTGTAATCTACCACAGTCATTGTTTAGACTTTAGTAATAGGTTAAGTGTAGGTTAAGTAATAGTTAAGTAAGTAGGTTAAGTAATTGGTTAAGTCTGCCCCGAAAGCGTCGGCATAATAGTGGCTTTCTTTGTACCAATCCAGATTATCATATAATAAAACACCACAATACACATTGTAACTTGAGTAAAGACATTTATATTTTAATATTATAAGGGCGCTGGATCGAATGTGAATATGACCCCCTTTACACAAGCGACTATATGACCCCTACGAGTTTACCGCTTTGCTGTAATTAAAATATAACAACTGTGAACGGCCTGACTCTTCAATGGCTGGTGATCCATATGAAACAGACTGAACTTTAGGCACAAATGTCGTGGTTCAGGACAACAGTTGGAAAACTCACCATCTGGTCAACATTATAATCTTAATGGCGATGTTTTTTCCTCAAGGGAAACATCACTTAATGTTAATTTAAGGTACCAGGTGCCAGTTTTATTAAGCTGATTTTTGTGAAATAATTGATGACTTTTTATGTTTGATCAGAAATAAGTTAGTGTGTGACTTTATATAATTATCTTAGGTTAAATGAGGTTAATTTTCTTTTATATGTTAATAACATCTATGTGTACCCTTTATATCAATGTTTAAAAATTGTTCATCATGTGCACTAAACCTACATAAAACTTACATATTTATTTACCGTATTTACTCTCTTAAATGTTGGTTTACTTGGAGAGAAAAAATAATTGATTTCGGTCTGTGTAGGTCTCAAATTTGTTTTTTTTCCGGAAACCGGAAAAAAATTAAATACTGGATTTCATGTAATAAATTCTGAGTGTAGCATTTAATTTGCTTAGAGTTTTCTAAGCTGATAACTTCATAATGCAACTTCTAAGCAGCTTCAAGCTTAATGAGCTTTTGTATATCATGGTATGATTTTTTTTGGTTTCTATGAAATGTTTGAATTAGATCTGAGCTGTCCAATTTCCTAATTTCCATTTTCTGTTGAAGAAATTTGGACATCAGTTCCATTATGATGACTTCATATCTTCAACCTAAAAGTTAACTACACTGTTACAAAATGCGATGTCCATAAAATACAGACATCTCCAGAGAATACTAGAAGGTCAGCTTGACGATCCTCCTCTAGCATCTAGCTTGTTTCTGGTCTCGTAACAGTTTGTCAAAATAAGACCAAATCCAGTTTTCCCTTAAATTGACAGAAATATTAATAGTATTTTGAGATTTCAACTGGTTGTAGATGAATGGTTCAGAGAACCGACAAGTTGATAAATTAGACGCATGTGCAACACTTGGGTGTCTTTATTGAGGAAATGTTTCACCACACAGTGGCTTCATCAATCCATACAAAGGAGAATGGTGAAGAACAGGAGGACTTTGAGGTAATCAGTCCCTCAGCCTTGAGTCGTACATCGACTCAAAAGAATACAGAAAAAATGTGCGAACTGCTTAGAGGGCTGTTCATAGCGCTCCCATGTGGTGATGGAAATATAAACACATGCAGTATAATGTGATCCTTTATTGACAACGTTTCGCCCACACTTTATACTGCATATGTATTTATATCCCCATGTGGTGATGTTGCCACAAATATTCGCCGAGCACTTGCTATGAGTAGCATCAACGTTTCCACCATAAACACATCTTCTGTCAAAGACCTCACTACGAAACGAAGCCCCACGTCTCTAACTTCTACAGCAGGCGTCTACACCATCTCTTGTGGATTCTGTCCCAAGAAATATGTAGGCGAACAGGCAAAGATCTTGCGGTCCACCTGAACGAGCATAAAATTTCCCTGTAAAAAGGGGACAAATTTAAAGTACGCCTTTTGCCCTTTCACGGGGAACGCCGACGGTTTTAGAAGCTAAAAATTCCCCGTAAAGAAACAATAAAAACGTAACGGGGGAAAACCAAACAAAATTTAAAAAACTTTTGGGAATAAAATGATATTTAAAGCAGGCTAAGCACCACCAACCCCAAAAACACAGGAGTAACATGATTTCATCAAACCCTCCTCCCCCCCAAACATGGCATTTTTTCAGGTCAAAATGCGCCAATCTCACCTCTTCTCCAATATACTGATGTCTTTCTCCCTCATTATACATTTTTGGGCTTCCCCAAAAGGGAAAGTGGGAAAAACAGATGCAAAAAACAACCCTGCAAAACCCAAGATTGCTGTAGTAACAAAAAAACCTGGGAAATCGTCGTTATCGCTTCTGGGCTTTCTTAAGCTAAAAATCAAATGTAGTATTGTTTTATCATTTGGTATCTGTTATGTTTCCCTCCCAGGGGGTCAATGATATTAAAACTATTTTTTAATTTTGGGAATTGCTAGGGGCTTGCCCCACCTTTGCCGGGTTTTCCCCCCGGTATTCCCTTTTACTTCTGGGATCAGCCCTTTTTTAACATTGCCTCTTCGCTCTCGGGCCGAGAGGATCTACTGGGGCATCGTCCTAAGTTGCCTGTCAGTGGCGGTTTTTGGGGAAAGGGTGGTGTTTGCGCCTCTTTTGACACCTCAGAAAAAAATTTCTCTGTAACATGGGGGTTTGTCATTGGGCAGGATTAAACAGTTGGTATTGAGGGTTCACCCGGGGGACGATTTCCCCCTAGTTAGCCAGGTTCTCTTAAAAACCCAAGATCACAGAGAGACGTAAGGAATTCAAGATTTGGGGAAAATTTTAGGAGTGGCTTTAAATGGGAAACACAAGAATCTTCGGAAACTGCTCACTGCCCAAAATTTTATGAATCGTTGGTTAATCGTTTCCAGGAGATGAGTCCCTTTATGTTACACTTGCATACTTTTGAGAATGAGTGATGTTTCCCGGCAAATTTTACCTGGAAATTTAAATTAAAGTAAAGTTCCCTTTGAGGGGGATGAAGCTGGTAAACAGAAAAGTCTTCGAGAAAAAATGGGACAGTTAAATTTTTCCCCGAATGGTATGTGGGTAGCAGGTGCCTACGCAGGTTTTTTCCCGAAAGGGTTTTTAACCTTTTTTAAAGATACTGAGAAAATCCCTTTCCCTCTTACGTTTTTTTTAAGGAATTTAGGGGACCCGGTCATGGTTTTGTATCCCGGGCGAAGGGGTACGTTTTAGCCTATGTGATGATTTTTGACCACATTGCCCGGGAAAAATGTGAGAAGAAAAGACGCATGCTTGAACCTGTGGTAGAAGACCCCCCCCCCCTGTCTTACGGGTGGCCCGGTGAGGATCAAATTTCCCGAGGGAGGGCTGGTCGTTCGTGGGTGAGATTTGGTTTGGGGAAAGCTTTTTTGGGCGGGGGGAGTCCCCCCCTCGTTCCCTGCCCCCAAAAATCTCCTCCCCGTGACTTTTTGCAGGGGTGGTACCCCGGGGGGAAATGTTGGAAATAGAGGAAGAATTGGAGGAAGTTTTGAAGACCTTGTCACCGCCTGAGGAGGACGTTACATCTGAGCAAGAAGTAGCTGGAGAGTTATCGCTTCCAGTTTGTCAACGATATTAGAATTTGGGGAATGATGATGTGACGGAGACGTCAGTGGGATTAATAAATCCTTGTAAGGTGGATGTTGAGGTTCACCGTGAGGCTTCACCAGACCATGTTATGGAGGACATGATTGTAGCAAGGAAACGGGCAGATACGTCAGACTCTGATGATGTACTGACACCAGTGCAGAGGCCTGGGAAGTAGACTGGTGTGGTAGGAGAGGGAAGAGGTGGTGATGGGGGAGGTCATGATAAGAGACATCGGAAGAAGGGAGGGGGGACAGAAGGTATTGTGAAGATAACATGCAGAAATTCTAATTCTAGTGATGAAAAGAGTGAGGAGAAGAGGCAGGGGTGGAAAATTTAAAAGGCCTTCGGTGTATGACTGTCAATGTTAATGGCTTATGTAGCAGAATAAAAAGAGAATGGTTAAGTATGTTTCTTAATAAATATAGAGTGGATGTTATGTTCCTCCAGGTACATAATTTCAAGGAGGGTAAGGTGTTAGAGGTAGCAGGTTATCAAGTAATGACACTGCCAACTACCCGTTTAAAAGGTGGTGTAGATATTTTAATAAAGGAGACGAGCCCGTTTATTTTGCAGAGAAGTGATGGGGGGAGGGAGAGGGTGTTGCGTGTGGATGGGTCGTGGATGGGTAAGCGTGTATCTTTTGTAAGTGTGTGTGCGCCTGTGTAGAATAGCTTGCAGGTAAGGAAGGATATTGTGTGCGAGGATCTTGTCTATTTCTTGCGTGCACTTCCGGAAGTAACAATAGTGGGGGGTGACTGGAACTGCGTTATTAGGGCGGCTGATGTAGAACCAAAAGGGGCAGGACATATGTTTGTAACTCTCAGGGATTTGATGAGGGACGTTAGGTTACATGACGCGTTTGAGGGGGTGTGGGAAACAGAACATACTTTTGTTAGGAAGGGATACGCAGCGAGGTTAGATAGAGTGTATCTTTCTCAAGGAGGTGTTGTAAAATCTTTTAATACCGTTGAGGCGGCTATGTCAGATCATAGGGCTGTAGTGGTGGAAGTAAGGTGGAAGGAGCTGGCGGAAATATATAGGACTTATTGGGAATTGAACATTAGTGTGTTGAGTGTTGAAGAAGGTTTGGAGGGTTTTTCTATTCTATGGAAAGAGCTTTACAAGGCAGCTCAGGAGGTGGATGACATTGTAACATGGTGGGATTATGTGGCTAAAGAAAGGATAAGAAAGTATTATGTGAGGAAGAGTAAATGTATATACAAACAATTTAAAATATGGGCTTGTGAATTATTTAGAGGATCGATTAAGAGGTTGTTATGGGCAGGGGATGGTTGGTGGTGTTTTTCCCATGGACGAAATAGTTGACATAAAAGAGAGATTGCGAATGTTGCAAAATGATCGGTTTCAAGTGGTAAGGATGCAAGCAAGGTTAGAAGAAGTTTTGTGGGGGGACAAACTGTCAGTGTGTGTGTTGCGACATCAAAAGCAAAGGCAGGCGCTGACGGCTATCTGGAGATTAGAGGTAAATGAGGCGATGGGGATCTATAGAGCAGGGCAGGAGATAAGCAATATGAAGGGTATGAGTGCATATGCAGATAAGTGGTATGAAAAGTACTGGACAAGTGGGATGTGGATGATGTGGAGTTAGACAGGGTGTGTACATATGCAATGTGCAATTTAGGTAATAGTAATAGGACGGCTTTGGGTGGGGTTATTACTGCAGAGGAAATAGAGATTGCTTTACAGGGCATGAGGAAGGGAAAAGCCCCGGGTATTGATGGTCTACCAGTGGAATTCTATTTACAGCATTGGGCGCTGATAGGAAATTTCATGGTTAGGTTATTTAATTGTATGAAGGAGAAGGGTAAGTTGGGAGATAAGCAGACTACAGCAGTTGTGGTGCTGGTCCCGAAAGGTAAGAGGTGTGCGGACTGTAAGGTGTTTGCAAAATTTTAGGTAATATGGTTAAATGTGTAGTGGGGAGGGTCGGTTCGAAATCGCAATTTGGTGGCCGGGGGTCGATGATAAGGCACGGGATTTGAAAAGTTTTGTGGAGTAAAAAGGAGGGGGGGGGGCCTTTACGGGCTTTAGACTGGCAGGTACCCTATGTAGAGTGGAAAGGGTCACTGCAGGTTCACTTAGGAACAAGGGTAGGGGGGAAAGAAATGTTTTGGGGGTAAAACCTGTTTAGGGAAAAAAAAACAAGGTAAAAAATAAATGGGTGTATGGGGGGGAATTTGCGATGGGTAGAGGTTCAGGCGGGGTGGCCCCATGTCACGGGTTCTTATTTGGTGTTTCGGGACCCTTTTTAGAAGGTTGAAGTACTGTCGTACCCGGGATGGGGTGGGGTTGAGGGGGGGATCTTTGGCCGGATTAATAGGATGTAATGATGCGACTGTTCTGGTTCGTGATAGGAGTTAAAAAGATTGGAAGATGTTTTACAAGTGTCGAAAATGCCCGGGTTGAGGGAAAAAAGTGAGAAGTCAATGATCAAGGGGGTTGGGGACTTGGAAAGGGGGGGAAGGTGGTGTACTGTTTTTAAAAAGTGTGCGGTGTCCTAAAGATTTGTGGTATTTATTTTAAAGGGTACATGGATGTGGCGCGTGAGGAAAACTCGGGTAGGTTTTAGAAAGGATCGGGGAGTCTGGGTGTTTTTAAAGGGCCCCACATTCACTCGCACAACTGTAATTGTCGTAAATGTTTTATTGTATAGTAAGGGTTTTGGGTGTTCGGCTGTTCCCAATTACAGGGACGGCGATTGCGGGAATTTTGAGAGGGTGTTTTTAAATTTTTTGGGGAAGTTTTGATTGGTTAAAAGAGAGGTTGTTATGTTACCTGTGTGCCAGGGTGGGTTGGGATTGATGGGTTAAGAGGAGGGCTAAATGTGTGTTTTTTAAAAGGGAGGTATTGTGTTGGGGTGATGGCGGGGGAAAATTAAACAGGATTATGAGGTTGAAGAGTTTTATGGAAGCGTTTTAATTGAGGGAATGTGAAATTGTTTTATGGGCCTTGTTGTTGGGTTTAGGGAACGGAGAAACTTTTGGGAATAGGGGTTTTTGGGTTGGTTCGGGTGGGTGGTGCGTTCCCCCTTTTGGGGGTTTTGTTCCCATGTACCGTGGAGAAACTTTTGGGAAAAATTTTTAAAGAAAGGGCTAAAATTTATTGCCTAGGGTGAAATGACGTTATGTTTCTTTTTTTTGATGGTCCCTTTCCCGCGGGGGCCCATGCTAAAAACCCAGGAAGTATAGAGGGGGGGGGGGTGGGGTTTTTGTGGGGGGGGACGACAGGGGGTTCCATGTAGTTTTTTTTTGTGAAGGGTTAGAAGACATCGGGGGTTGGTTGGGAAGGTTGGTACAAGGGTGGGAGGGAGTGGGGTTGGCGGTTCTTTGGGCTTTAACCCTTGACAGGGGGGTTTTAAAAAGGGGAAAAGTCAAAAAGGCTTTAGATTACTTCATGGTGGATTATATCTACATATTGGGTAATGAGGGGGAAAGGGGTTAGTGAGGTGCGAAGGGCGGGGTTCTCGTGATAACTTTTTATGGGGAACGATGTCATAACCGGGTTTGTGAAACATGAGCATATGCAGGGTTTTTTTTTTTTTTGTGTGAAATCAGTTTTTTTTTTTTTTTTTTGGGAGTTATTTTTTTAAATTTTCGTTTTGACCCTTTGTTAAAATGTTAGGCCTAGAAACTTTCCTAATAGGGTAATGTCAATGTTTTTTTAAATTTATATATAATAGGTTAGTACTTGTTCCCTGGTAGTTGTTTTGAGACGTTTTTGGGGTAACTTTTGTTCAAGTATTGCCATTTTTTTAAAAGGGTTAAAAGACCATTGGTTTGAAAAAATTTTATTTTACTTTAAAAATCCATTTATTTTCTGGAATTATGTACTGCGTACTGTTTTTAAATAAAATTTTAAAAAAAAAAAGTATCGCCCGTCCTCGACTTTGGGGA